TGTGTAAAGTAACAGCTGTGCAAAGTTATGGTTGTGTAAAGTTACAGTTATGTAAAACTGCATTTGTGTAAAGTTACAATTATGCAAAGTTAAAGTTGTGTAAATTTATTAAATACTGATGTGTAAAGTTTCGGTTGAGTTAAGTAGCAATATTTTGATCCATGAATCCTTGAATGAAGTGCAACCTCGGCACCTCTTTCAGCACTAACGGGCCTATCTGTTAACCTGCTATTCCTTTTTCTTTTCCAGTTTTCTAAATGTCTTTTCAAAATAGTTTTGTGAAACGAGGACTTTGTGAAAACAATTCTGCACGTCTAACCAAGCATAAATACGTAACCAATAAAAAGTGTTTGAAAAAGAAACAGTGTTTCTGAGTTGCACAGTTAGTCTGAAGTCTTGGTTCTCTCCTACAAAAATGTGGAATGCTCACGTTAGGTTAGAAGGATCTTTAACATTTTAATATATAAATTCATTCAACCTTTATCAATACAAGTTCGCCTCACTGAGCCTCGAGAACTCATTTACAAGAGAGACCTGTCCTGTCCGACTCTAGATGTAGAAATGAAAGGAGTTGTGAACAGCAGGTAGAACATGTTTACGTCACGTGAGACATGCGGTTTGTTGATGATTTACCCGACTCCCTTCTAATGTTCTCACAGTAAACACAAACACCGGTACCAGACACGAGAGAGGAACCGGGAGAACGGAGGAAATGAGAATAACGGTCGCTGATGATGGTAGAGGAGGAAGTCATTTTGTATCAGAAGATTATGGGGCGATAAAGAAAATGAGGAGACCAGAACAATAAAACTTGTTTATAGGTTTAAACAAAAACTAAACGAAAACAACCACAGTGCATCTGTGAGAGGCTGCACATTCAAATGATACTAAGGTTTATTCTTCATACATGTTTATTCTTGTTGAATGCATGAATGAAAATTCTCATTGTTAAATGGAAACATAAAACCTAATGTCATTTTCATTTTCATTCTACACCATTTTTGTTTTGCTTTTTTACAATTATCCACATTTTTTTTTTTTTTAGAATGAAGCAATTTGTTTAATCTACGGAGGACTGAAACGGACAGAATTATTTACGCCCTAATTTTTTGTATTTTCTTATGATTTTTAATTAAAATTTATATTTTCTTTTATAATTATTTGCATATTATTGTCTGAAAGCAAAACATCTCAAAACAAAAAATGTTTTTTTGTGAAATCGTCTCGTTAAAATTTGCAGTCTATCGAATTCAAGATGGCTGCCACAGCGAATCAACCTTGGTTGACACTAAAATGGCCACAACTCCGTCAGTTTGACAGAATTTACAGGGTTCCAGTGTGTTCCTCTCCATCTCGCTGCAGATCCCAGAACACTGATCCACCTCAGAACCATCACAGATGCTGGTTTGGACCTTCCACTGGTAACAGCCTGGACGCTCCTCCTCATCCTTGGCAGGAAGGACCCGACGTCTGTTTCTTCCAGAAGCAGCTGAAGCTTGGACTCGTCTGACCACGGAAGATGTGGCTGCTGTCCATCAGAGGCATCTCTGTGTTTGTGATGATGTTTGGTTTCCATCACCAAGAAGACGTTCTCAAACGGTCGAATACAGAACCAAATGAAATCTTTTTGGACTGCTTCACATTTGTCTGTTAAATTTCAATAGAATAAATGTATTGACCTGCACGTGTCTGCTAACATTCATGGTAAAAAGATTTTGATAGGCAGGGCGCTCAGTTCTGCTAGGTAGAGCTAATGTTAGCTAGAAGCTAAAAGTATCAAAAGACTAGCTATAACCTAAATGTAGCAAAAAAATCTGGCTAAAAGCTAAATGACGGCTAGCTTTCAGTAGCTAAAGAATAGGTAAAAGTAGAAGAATGGTAGCTAAAGCTACAGTATAAGTAGCAGAAAGGTTGTAAAAAGTAGCAGAACAGTAGCATAAAAGTAGCTAAAAACTAAACGCAGAATAAGGATACAAAAATGCAGCATGTATGCTGAAGCAGATTTCAAAGGGAACCCTGAAAAGATCCTGGTGTTCAATCGTCTGAACGCTGACTCAGCACTCACAGCAGCTAAACAGCTGAAACAAGCAGCGAGTGGGAGAGAAGTCCAACAAAGAAGGACGAGGGAGTTCGGCTCGAGGGGGGAAAAGACTAAAGTCTGAGCAGGAATGAAAGAGTTTGTGGACAATGGAAAGCACACTCCTCACGACTGTTTCAGGTTTTTTAGTAAAGCAGGTACAGCTCGACCCGTTTTGTCTCTGCCTCCGTCTGCTGGCGGCCACCGGGCAGCAGCTGCCTGCCTTTAATAACCGCCGCAGCTTTTCATTTCAGCCCCATCAGAGCAGCAGAAGGACACGGCCTCGTTTCCTCCCTCATGCATTATAAATACCCCATTACTACTTGTTGGCCGCACTCTGGGGACCAGTGGCACGGTGACGGACCGATCTGCACTTTATCCACAGCATCATTATCAGGAGCACCGACAGGCCCGTAACTGATTGGGTTATTTCACCGCACCGTGTCCGTGGCCTCCGAATTGGACCTCAGCTGCTGCTGTAGCAGACGGCAGGTAATGGACTGGTGCCATGCAGCCGAAGCCCCCGCATCAAACAACAGTTCTGTAGCTGGCGTGAAACAGGAAGCGGCCTCTGATTGGAGACCTCTGGAGGTAAAATAAACACCAGCTGGCAACCACCGCAGCCCAAACAGGCTGAGATCTGAGGGACAGTACGAAGCCTTCCGGCTGAAAACTGCTTACTTTGAGCAGATCTCTGGGAAAATCCTGGCCATCGTTCAGCCCGTCCAGGTTGCCAATGAATTGTGTGCAGGACATCTTCTTGCCAACATTCTGTGGAAAAATGGTTGAATATAATTTTCTGTTTACAGACATGAATCATTTTCTTTGTTGAACACACATATTTTGTTTTTACTTTTTTAATCCAGCTTGGGAAAAGAGAAGAAAAATTAAATCATCAAGTTTTACCACAATATTTTCTACAACATGAAATAAAAGGTGATTATGATAAACAAACAAATAAAACAAGCAACAAAACTGGAGCTTTTGAATGTAAAACTACATGATTTTAGCAAACAGCTAAAATGTTTAAAAATAAAAAATGGCCAAATGCTAGCTAAGAGCGCCAAAACACTAAAAATAAAAATAATTGGCAAAATACAAGCGAAAAGCAGCAAAATAACTAAAAATTTAAAGTGACAAAATGGAAGCTAAATACAGGAAAATGTTTGTTAAAAGTTGGCCAGCTGAAAGCTAAAACTAGCAAATGGCTACCTAAAAGTAGCTAAATGCA